ACGATCCATGAGGCGGCTACTTATCTGAAAAATGTGTGCAAGACCAATAACTGTGGTAAAGAAAAATTCCTCTTTGTCAGCATCCATCTTGTTTTCTTGATAATGAAAACACAATTTGTTGAAAAAACGCGCCAATCATGGGGTTGAGGCCACAGTGATCGTAACTGAGGTTGCGGAGCATATTGATACCGGATTCGAGCTCTACTCTTCATCCATCTTGTTGATACTCTGCACTGTCCAATCTCCTGGTATTCTCCTTATTCAGTGTCCATGACTCTGACCCGTACAATAACACATTCCACTCCGAAATTTTAACCATTCTCTTATTCAACCGTGTACTGAATTTCTTCGTTAACAGTTTTCTTCTCGAATTAAAGGCAACCTTTGCTAGCGCCATCCGTGATCTTATCACTGTACTGCAATAGCCGTTGCTTGTCAAAATGCTTCCAAGTTATTTGAATCCTTAAACTTGTTCCAGATCTTTACCAATTAGCTTGATCGTTACATCATCTTTGCAGCTTTTGTTGATCCTCATCACTTTCGTTTTCTTTCAGTTGATTTGCATTCCAGACTCTTCAACAACTGCATTCAGACTGTCCATTATTTCCTGTAACCCCTTTTCTGAATCTGCTACCATGACCTGGTCATACACAAATCTCACTTCATTTACCAGCTGACCGCCGACCTTTACTCAGGGGTGGCGCTAGAGACAAACCTTCAAGGTGCCGACATTCATATTCTCCGTAACTGCTGACGCTGGATGTATCAAATTATCTACAGAAAAAAAATGGGATAGAACATCTTTAAGCGATGTGCCCCATATAGCAGGGCCTCCAACGAAGGGGCACCGAGGGGTCATGGCCCCTACTTTTTTACAAAGCAGTAGAGCATTTTTCCAAAATCTTTTGTTGTTGGTGCAAAAATTTCCTCTTGCCTCCTACCCCCCCCCCCACCACTTTCCAACCTGTGTTGGAGTCCATGTATAGCAAGATTTTCTTGGCAATTTTTGCCTTGTAAGAAACGTAATGCGCAAATATTGCCTATTGTTGAATATTTCTTCCTATCTAATTCACATAGAAAAAAGAAAAAAACATAAACTTTGGAAAGTTTAATGTGAGTAGTTAGTTAATCGATGGTTCTTTCTAAACCATTTGTTTGTCGCAAGCTATGCGGTGAAAAATAATATTGAAAAATAGTTGATGAAAAAGGACAAGTGTTTTTCAAAAAATTTAATACGCAAAATGTGTTCATGATCGAAATGTTTTCATTGGCAATAATAATTTCTTGAAACGAAAAAAGAATCCCTTAAGAGAAAAATTCATTAAAAACTTTATTTATGACAGCATGATTTTATTTTATGATGGCTTTAATGTAATGTTATCTTTGATTTCTGTGTAATCCAACAGGAATAGTGAAAATACTATTTTGCATGTGTTTTCCCCTGTTTTCCTTTTGGATTTTTCGTTATAGATTTTCTGCTAGCTTGTTCACTCCACTCGTTTACTCGGTGAATAACTAGCACAAATGCATGTTCAGATGTGATGCATGTGCTTGGTATTGCAGCATAGGCGCCAAGTATATCCGCTGAAGTCGGACATCTGTCGAATAGCGTAAGAATTTTCGCATCCCGGCGGTGGTACTAAGCGCAAAAAAGAAAAAAAGCCTTATATGAGCCAAACGTTTTTCGGGAAAAAGTTAAATTTTAAATGGCACTGGTATGACATCTTTTGTCTAAGCCATGTCAGTACTAAAGAGAGTTGTTAGCTTGGATCAAAACCATATTGATAGTTAAAACGATACAAATTCAACATAACTATTTACAACAAAGTTTATATTAGAAGGTACAATTTTAATATTAAGTAATTTTAATTATATCGATCTTGTAAGATAAAAAACAAACGTATTGGCCCCCCTGTTGTCTAGCACACTGAGATAAAAAATTGCAGTTTTCGAGCCCAGTGCCCTAAAGTTTAGAGTGGATAACCAAAACAGGTAATGTCAATTTAGGCCAAGCCATTTTAAAGCTCTTCTTGATTTCTGACATTGATTTAGTACTCATGTTTCAGGCGTCAGCGCGCGAAAAAAGACAACCATTTTCCTCCGACAACTTATCAGAATAGAGCAACTAATACACTTTCGTTATGAGAACCAGTGAATTTAAATTCAGGCTGGTTGTTCTTAATTGTATCCAAAACTTTTAGGCAGGACGATCCATACTTTATTTGCCGACAGGTTTGACAATTCCCCGACAAAGCAGCCCTAGATGGAAAAGAACTCTTCGTTCTTGAATTTTTTAAGGGGGTTTCATAGCTATGATCTAAATTATAGAACATATCAGCCCCAGCTTGTTCTGAATTTGAACCTTGGCAGTGGCGGATCTAGACAAAAATTTGAGTGGGTTCCAATATGGGCGTGGTCCCATATTTTTCTGGCAACGCCCTTGACTTTTTCCAAAATTGGTTGACGCCTATTTTCGCTTTTTGATAAGATTCACAATTGCAAGATTTGATTTTAATCATGATTATTATTTCATCATGATTCCAAGACAAGTAAAAAAATAAATCTGTAAACCAAACCAGGAATTGTCATTATGAATTCTAAAGGAATGGTTTCGATTTCTTGCCAAACAGAGGACCTTAATAAATTCCTCTAGCTGGTTACAGCAAGACATAAGCTTACTGAGTGTTGCAAGATTTGAGTTAAATTCCTGCTATAAATGATGCCAAATAATTAACAAGACAAATTTACATATATTCACCAAGTTTGTCAAAAATGGATAACGATGGACGAAGCCTCTTATCATATATAGCAAACAAACCCAATTATTAAAAAGTGCAAATTATGAAATATGAAATCATCTTATCCCGTTCTCAAGGTCTTTCATTTTATCTAAATAAAGTTATCTCACTCTATAGATAAATATATTCTGTATAGGGCTTCAAGAGTTCTATAAGCTTTCTACGTCAAAGAGAAAATATCTTCGACATTCCTGAGTTTCTGCCAAGAATTCTCTGCTGCTAATTGCAACGCATTCTTTCGTGAACGCCATTTTACAACTATCTGAAATGGACTTTTCGCTAGATCCATGTAAAAAAGCGGTGATCTGTTTTCTCCAGGTTGGCTAGGCAAGTCGAGAAAAATGAGCAAATAGTTGGCGAGGCGTGTTTGAAAAGCTTTCTTGAAAAATCATAGCACTCTTCCATACGATTATCAAATTTTATTGATCTTCAGGTGCTGGTCCCTTCCTGTTTGAGGGCTTAAAACAAGCTCTCGTCATCGTGCAGTCAAAGCCTCCACTCGCAGCTTCACGTCGCCATTATGACAACAGGAAGCATGTATGGTCAGCGGTTTAAATAAGTTCCAATGAGTTCGTGAGATGGGTTCCAAAAGGGTTCTTTTGTTTGTAGCAAAAACAATATAAGACAATTGATTGCCATGGCTACGACAGGGTTCCTTTGTTAAAAAATACAATATGGTACAAAAAGTTGCCTTGGCTACGACAGGGTTCCTTTCTTTAGAGGAATATAATATGTTACAAAAGATAACCATGGCTACGACAGGGTTCCTTTCTTTCACAATACCATATTTAGAGAGCAGAAAAGGTTTTGGTACAAGAGGCCATTTGACGTTGGGACTGGTTGCGATTAATTCGAAAGTAAAGGGAAAACTGATGTTATGTGTCTTTGGAAAATTTGACAGGGTTCCAGAACCCTTGGAACCCGGTCTGAATCCGCCACTGAACCTTGGTATTGTGGGTTATGCGAGGGAGCACCATGAAACAATGTCACAGCTTTCCCGGAAGCGACAGGATATAATGCCACTATGATAATTGCAATAGAAAAGCCTTCGAGAAAACCATAAACAAGCCAGTGCAGTTTTCTCGTCGATTATTTATGTCATTCAAACAACATGTAAATGGGGTGACATCCATCAAGTGCCGACGGTATCCAGAAAGCAAAAATTGATTGGCTGCCGACGGGGGGGACTTGAGCCTCCCCTTGCCCTCCCCCTCTACATGCCCCACTCCTGGGAATCATTGGAGTCGATTTGCATTGAGTAGAGTGTTCAGTTTCTTCATGGTAGAAGACTGTTATTTACTAGCTAGAATGTGGAGGTGGGTTTTTGGTTTATATGGGTCAAGGTCTGATGATGGATACGACGATGAAAAATATGACTGTTGGAGTAGAGATACTACATAAGAGATGGCCGGGCATAGAAAAGAAGACAAGACGCTTTGCTTTCGAGCAGCAGAAAATGACCTCTATATATAAACGCAAGTTTACAGACAGTTAAAATCGCTAAAGATTTATGAAACATTTAACATATGTGCAGATAAGGTTGCCTACCAAAGTGGACTAAATTTTAGGCCCAATGAAGGGTACTAGGCCTAGGCCTTGTACTTTTCAGACATGCTAGCAGGTTCTCTGCTTTTAACTTTCAAAATTGATTTTTCAACGTCAATTATCTTGATCTACAACAAACTCATCTTCTGGTTTGTAAGTGTTTCCATCCTCTCGCTGGGCAACAATTTTCCAGGCGTCAAAGTCTTTCAGGCGTCATTGTGAAATTGCTTTACTTTGAATATGAATAAATAGAAACTTTGAATACGTATTCATTTCTTTTAGCTATTTGAATGCCTAAATTGTCGCAGCAAACTACACTCTGTTTACGCCAATGCTCACTTTTGTCATGTAGATGCCGCATATTTTACGCATAATTAATTTTCCCAGAAATCCTTGGGAAAACGCTCGTACGCAATTTTGCTTAAGGTTACACAGACCCTCTTCCTATAAGTTAGGGGTCTTGGGCACAGGCTACCCTCTCTAACGTTCGTTCCCTTCCTGAGGCCAAAAATTAAATGTGCGCACCTAGCGACCATTGAAAAAACATTATGTTTTTAGAATGCAATGCAACCAGGTTCAACAGTTGGAAATCGTTTATCTTAGAACCTAATTAGAGTTATGATAACTTGAAGGCAACCAAAAAAGAAACAAAAGACCAAATTTCAAATCAGCAAACATTAGTTTCTGCAATGACTCAGCATAAATACAAAACAGCAGCAACAGCAAGTTCAAAAGCAAAGATGATTAATATACTAAGAGCACTAAGCAATCTAAAATACCATTTCAGAGTGAGTAAACGCTTTTGAAAGATAGGAAAATGACGAAAATACAGAGAGCCAATGGAGCAAGATGATAGAAGCCAAATTTCTGGTTAATGAAGTGGGTGTGAGTCTGTCATTAAGTATATTCAATTACATAAAATGGTCGAGTTCGATGTAGCATAGAACAAATTTATACCGCAACACAATGTCAGCTCATTCATGCTATGTTGAAACTGGTAAGATGATGCTTCTGTATCCTTGAAAAGCTATATGATAACTACAGTAAAAATAGCAACAAGTTAGCTCGTTATATGTATTTACCGAGATAATAAAAAACACTAATAAAGAAGGCCGTTACAGGCAAAAAAATGTTCTTCAGTGTCCGCAAAACAACTTGCTCGATATTCATCTTAAGGGTTGATTTTGCAGCATCTGTAATGGTAGCGAAAACTCCCTGCACCCCACCATTTCCCTCTTCTATGCTGCAGCCTGAAATACGACAGGAAATAGCGGGGCCCGCAAGTGACATACTGTCGATTCAGATAGATGATATTGCCTTTACCATCATTTGTCCAGCGTGTGTGTCTAGAATAGCAGGTAGAGCGCTTTCTGTGTCTGTAAAAGCGCAAATAGCAGCAATTGTAGATGTACCTGATTCGGTTACCATGTCGATTTCTGGAAAGTCTGAATCCTGAGAGGTAGGCTGAGCCTGGACAATGAACTGGCTGTCTAGCAAGTGTCTGACCACGTGAATTGTGAACGGCATACGAGTATGTATTATATTTTGCACGGTTGTAGCAAATGTACTTATTGAGCCTGCAGCAAATGAACCGGTATCTGATCCGGCTTCCAATATTTTGGAGTCCGAATGATTTCATTACTGATCCGGATGGACAATACGGTCGTTGTCTATCAAGGTACACTACCCTCCCTCCTCCGTAGCCATTGAGTCCGGTATATCGCCAAAAACAGCGCTCATTGCAATACCGCTCATCTTGCTTGTCTCCACAATTGTTATCATAATTGCATCTTTGGTAAGAAGGAATACACTTCCTTCTACGAGAGCAGTGGTATTGGTTTCTGCAACATCCCCTAAAACATGGTGCATATGAATATCTTGATCCGTAACATCTTCTCCCTGATCCCAATTTGTGTATACGAATTCCACGATGACGCTGTTTCCTAGCGCCATAGCCACACCTCAAGCAATGTCCATACCGCGACCAGTGTCCCCAAACACAGTTTCTGTTTCCACAGTGATTGCCGTAAAAGCCTCTTTTACAATGACACCTCCCATTGTAGTTAGAGCATTGCGTGGTTCTTGATCCACGTCTATAGCAACGACATCGATTGCAGCCTGAAACTTTCCTTCTGCAAGAAGTCCGCTTGGAGCCAACAACATAATAGTTTCTGTTACATCTGTTTGTAATTTGCATCCCAGGGTGTAGATAATGTCCTTTGCAGTGGATGTTTGCAGAGTTCGCAATGGTGTATTGGCATGTTTTTCCCTTAATGCTTGCAAGCTGAGCAGCTATTCGTTGCTTGTAGAATTGGTCAACTATGTTGGTTTTCCTCCCAACAAACTCCAGTGCTTGTGCCCATACCATATAGCCAATCTGTTGTAGAAGAATCAGCTGTCGCCAATAGTTATCAACTCTCCGCTTGTAGGCCGATGTACAAGGCTCTCCTGCTTTGTTTTTGGTTTCCATGAAAGCCAATAGCAACGGTTTATGCCGTAAAAGAGGCTTGTTCAATTTTCCGACTAACATCTGATTGAGAAGGAATAACGGTTTACGTATTCCACGAGATACATGGAGTACCTCGTTTGCTAGAGTCTTGCCTGCGACCTGAAGACTTTTCTCGTCCTTGTGTTCTACTGGAAGTTGTTCGAAACGATGTGAAAAATATTCGATTGTGTGAATTGAATCTTTGTACTGAGTTATGAAATTTGCCCATTTGAACTGATTCCCAATGCCAATGGATAGACTGTTGAATTTTCGTTGAATGCTTGCTTCCAAATTGCTGATACCTTTCTGAATATTAACAAAATTGATGCCAACAAACCTTCTGAGATCTTTAATATCAAAATAGACGTCGCTAAGAACTGGTATTTGAAGTGTCGTGGTAACCATCATGTCGATTGTTTTGGCAAGAGCTGCTTTCGAGTGCTTTTCACAAAGGTTCCCTTCGTAAAACGGTTTGCATTCACAATACTGTGCACTTGAGTATGGATACTGCTTACATTGTCCTTGATTCTTACATGCTAAAATGCACCCTCTTCTCTTTGCTTGTTCCGTTGACTTTAAAACCACAACGATGTAGGCCGGAAAACTTCTTGTTTTGCGTCTATTTACTTTGTAACGAATAGTGTACTTCTTGTTGACAATTTTCAAGTCACTCGTTTTTCCAACTGCAAATCCGCCATAATTCTTTCGAACTGTCAAACTCACAACATACTTCCATAGATTTTTCATTTTCAAATGCTGTCTAATCGCGTCGAGAGTCTTACAGTAGTCTCTACTGGTTCTAAACAAAGCTCGCCTTGTTACGATGTCATGTAATCCATTCAGAATGTCATACTTCTGCCTATCATATGTGCCTGTTTTGTCAGCAAAGCTTACAATTAGATTTCGTTTTCTAGCATTCCTGTCGCTTGGCATGTACCAAAAAGCACCGTATACATTTGTAGTGCAGTGGTTATCCCTGCCATAAGCGTCATATGAAAATGCAACGACATCAAGCCAAGGGTATTTCAACTCCAAGAATCTTTTCACTTTCGCGTTTGCTATAGCATTCGTTTTCGATCCAATTTGGTACTTACTGTTCCGTATGTCCTTGATCATCTGTGTCTTAATGTTATTAAAGCACTGCTGTTTCATCTTCCAAGACATGCCCCGCAAGTCATATATACTTTTAAGCCAATCGTTCATACTTTGGGTAATACTGTGTTTGCTACCAGTCAATTTTTCATACAAAAGGACAACTTGTTGGCCTTTGAAAGCTAGCTTAAACACACCGTTAGCAAATTGGTTGATCTTTGAAATGTCACATTTAAATGTTTTCTTCACAAGAAGAAGAAGTGGATCTCCAAACGATGAAGTGGGTTTGCTTGAACCATGCAAAATTTTGTCGAGATGAACTTTGACGTTAAGTGACGCAATATAACGTTGGGCGATTCGTGTGCGAATTCTTTTGCAGTTGGCCTTTGTGGTGCATCTTGTCTTCTGCAGTTCATTGAAGAGTCGCATCATTTGCTTATGTCCAAATAGTATGGCATGGGCAGATGAGTGGTAAGCAGCTCTTTGGTTTTCATATGTAATTAATCCTTTGATGTTATCTAGCTCAGATGTGATTTTGTCGAGTTTGGTATTGACAAGAGTAAACTGTTTCTTCATGTACGCCAATTCAGCAGAATCCTGTTGCGGAAGGAACGCAAGAATAAGCGATACAAATCCTCCAGCTGCACCAAGAAAACTTGTCATTTTATCAATCACCCCAAAAACCTTCGATGTTTTAGGATCTTGAAACTTCGCTATCGTCTCTGCTATTTTTTCACCAGTCGTGAATCCAGCGGTTATTGCTGTCTTTTCACTGCTGGTGAGATCCCCTGCTGCATTCGAGGCAATCACCACAGCAATGAGAAATATGAGGATCTTTTTCTTGAACGCCATTTTGCAAATGGTTTCAGGGCCTAAAAAAATTATGTCCCTTATAAAAATTGTAGAACACAATATAGCAGATGCTACCACAGGAAGAAGTTTAAAGAATTAGCTAAGGAAATCAAGAAAATTCAGCAAAAGAAAGATAATAGATGCATACAATATTTAGATCTAAAAGATTATGAGTAAGCGGTTCCCTTGTTTGCAAAAAGCGTATTTTTCTCATAGAAATCAAAAGAGCATGAAATAAGCAGTTCGGAATCATGAATATGAAGTTTGTACCTTATTCAAATTTGTGAAGTCATGATATGACTGTCTTGGCAGACTCATAGACAACTTAAAAAGAATCACGTGATAAGTAACCCCAAATTGAACTCTTCTTTATATTTGATATAAAACCTTTGAGGTGAACTCAGACAAAATTCTTTCATTAGAATTTCTGAGGACTATTTTTGGAATATATTGGCTCGTCATCAAAATCCCACTTTCCTTAATATCAAGAATATATATATTGCAATCGCTATGAATATCGATTTTTGATATGGAACAAGAACAAGAGGAAATGAATTTTGTTTTGGTATATTGTAGATTATTGACAGTAAAAGAGGCACTGAAATAGCTATGGTCAAAGATGCGATCTTGAAACACTCAAGATGGTTGAATGGCGAGGCGCCGTCCTATATGAGTGACATATTCACTAGGGTTAGCGAAAAAACCTCTCGCGTACTGCGGAATTCTAATATTAACTAAAGACCTCCAAAGTTAGGACATCAGCTGGTCAGAGATGTTTCTCATTTAGCAGGTCGAGTCTCTGGAACGTCTCTATTCAATAGTGAGGCAGAAAAAATGACAATAGGTTGTACTTTGAATATAGGTTCCGTGGTTTTGATGTAAGAAAATCAAACGGGAAGCTGGGTCCAGAAAGTTTTGAAGTGATGTTTATAGCACGATTTTTCTTTTTCTTTTTTATTACTGATGATAAAGAAGTTGCAGAGATCTGTATGACGACTTTGTTAATTTTACAGATCCATTGAGGATTACTGAATCTCAGACCCCGTTTACATGAGAGTGGATGCAATCCTGATCGGATACCAGAGAGTACGGACAAGTTTCGCGTTTACACAGCAGCTGTTAGGTTTGTAAAATCTTGGATCCGCTATCCGAACTTTTTTGGATCACCTTTATAACTAATCCCTTATGGATCCGATCTGGACCGGATTCCACGTAAATCATTGGATCTTGCATAGATCGGACCCTCGTACGTTTCTATTCGATAGTGTGGCAGAATAAATACAAAAGGTGGTACCTTGAATATGAATTCTGTGGTTTTGGTGTAAGAAAATCAAACAGGGCATTGACTTGCTACCATTTTGAAAATTAAGGCAGCTGGGTTCAGAAAATTTAAAAGTGATGTTTATAGTATGATTTTTCTTTTTCTTTTTCTTTTTCTTTTTCTTTTTCTTTTTCTTTTTCTTTTTCTTTTTCTTTTTCTTTTTCTTTTTCTTTTTCTTTTTCTTTTTAATTATTTAATTTAATTTAATTTAATTTAATTTAATTTAATTTAATTTAATTTAATTTAATTTAATTTAATTTAATTTCATTAATTTGGCCAATTTCATGAAAAACACATAAACAGGGATGAAGTAGTGGGGCTCTAGGAGGAGGATGCCCCCTTGTTAAAATTTCAAAAAAAGGGCTCAGCATCCCCCTTCATTGCTTGTGCTTGGATACAGCCACGAATCATATTATGCAAAGAAAGCTGCAAAGAAAGCTGTAAAGAAGTGAAGAAATGTTACTTCACCAATGGTCAGTCATTTACAACTAATCTAAAAAAGGAAAAGAGAAACAACTGAAGGATGTAAAGGCATTGCAAGCTTTATATGCATGAAAGAGTACACAAAGTTCGATATATACAGATAGAAAATTCTTGAATGATTTCTTACTGAGTACGTTTAGTTGCAGTTTTGTAAAGACAGTTGGTTTTTTGTTGCATTTAGAAATGCCTGGATCAACAACCGGTGCTATATTTGAATCCGTCTTGTCTAATTTTAATATTTCATGCACTAAACCCTTTTTAATAAAAGCACTAGATGCTTTTATTTTTTGGATAATTTTAGGCTCGGATGTTCTTAAAGTTGTTCTCATTTCAAAATTTATTTTTGATATCTGCAAACTATGAATACTTTTCAAGTCCACTGAATAGCAGTTCTGTATGAAATTTTTAGTCGCCTTTGTTTTGTTAATATGGGAGGAAACGTTTGAATTCAAAATCCAACCAATGAGTCATTATTATTAAGAAAAAAGTTCTTTTTTATCGATGCCATAAATATTTTAAATGCATTTCTTGCCATTCTTAGAATGCCATATCTCAATTTTTTTCTCACCGCCAAACATGGTAGCGGCTTTCACTGAGCCCCTGAGCAACATAAACATCTGTCTCCTCACTTGCAATAAAATCCCCTCCCCCCTGCACCCTTCCTCATAGATTTGATGCTCTCATCTCAGCTGACGCCCAACACAGTCAATGTACCTGGCTGCTCAAACAATGTTTGGAAAAACATCAACCCTCACCATGTTCAAATTTCGATGATTACATTATAAGAACAACTTAGAAACTTCATAGAGCCCCCCTTGTAAAAGTTTTACGACTATATCCCAGCACGTAAAAATGATTTTTTTTTAATACAGCTGTTAAAAGCCCGAACTATAGCCTTGTTTACACTACACAAACTAACCTAGGTTCACCCAAGGTTAAAACTCACCCAGGTTAGATTTTTATCGTGTAATCGTAGACAAACCCAATTTTGCCCAGGTTTAAATCAACCCATTCTGAAAGGTGGGTTGGCCCTAGGTCGAGCCTAGTTTAGCTTAGATAAAGTGTTCTGTAAACGCAAACATGTAGCGAACCTGGTTGAATTTCTTCATGACGCGTGCGCATTGACTGACACTGCCGAAAGCAAAACAATGCAAAACACGAACAATATACCCGTTGACCTCCACCATAATGTTTATTCGAACCTTAGATTTTTTGTTTTACGATTGTGTCGTTATATTAAACTAACTCCGGTTCGCCCTTGATTCCGTTAACATTGCGAAGTCGACAGTTTCTGGTTTCTAAGCACCAGGGCTCGACCCGGGTTACCTTTAACAAAGGGCGAATCCAGGTTTGTTTGTGTAGTGTAAACAGAGCCTATGGTCTCGAAACAAAAATTCTTCGAACAAAGTTTCAATTCTCTTAGAGGTATTGCCTTCTTAGCTGAAGTATCTAAGTTATTCCAAAGCTTAGCAAACCTTGAATGGAATGACCTCTGATCTTTGCACGTGTTTTCCTTTTCGAAGCTTCAAGTCAGCCAGCGTCTGTATTACGTAGCTGAATATCGCCTATCTATTTTTTTGGAAGGGAGGGGGGGGGGGGGGGGCAAAATTAGTCAGAGATTTAGAAACAATCGCCCTGTTATCGTGTTTAATCATGTCATTGACTGTCTTCCAGCCTAGATTCTGAACCAGAAGTTTTCTAGGGGCATCAAACTGCTATTTGTTATGATCTAACAGCTCTGTTTTCAATCTTCTGAAGTTTCAAGGTTTTGGTAATATCAAGAGATCCCCATACAACGCAACAGTAGCAGAGGTAGGGTTCAATGATGCTAGTGTTCGAAGGATTATCACATGTTACAATTTAATAAATATTTGCTTTGATATAAAAACGTTGATGCATAGTTTGATGTGTAGCACCGAACAGGTCGACCTAATCCACTTTTGGTTTAATAGCTGGTTTGTTTTGTGTACATTGTTTTGTGTAAATCTTACTGCAATTCAGATTTTTAGACTGATAATTCGAAAATGTCAAATATTTAATAGAATTGCATAAATATACCTAAGATAGATTAATACCTAAAATCATATCCACTTTGCTAGATATCTACAAACAGTGGCCAATCAATGGATGTTTTGCTGGCTTGATATTTTTAAGATTCCTAAGGTGTATTTTTCAAGATATTTCACTCACATCAAAATGTGTAGAATAGTTTGGATTTGATCAAATATTTCTCTTACAATAATGGTCCTGTACCACCTGCTTGGTAACATTTTTTTATAAATAATCAGAAGAAAATGTTTTACCTTCAGGGTACAATGTTCTTTTAATGTATTCTGTCACTGCCTGTTGTTTAGATACACTGTTTTCAAATTTTGAGAATGAATTTTTTTGGTGCCCAATGGTTGTATTTTTCTGAAATTTGCTTCAACTCAACATTTTTCATAGAGAACAGTTATGAGATGAAATCTCTGACATATCTTTTGTTAAGATAATGTCTTTTAATAAACTTGGAAACATTGACATCATTTAATGGTTGTGCTTTAAATCCTCCCCCTTTATGTACATCCTGGTATGGATTGTTTTTATGCCTGGATATATATTCAGAGTCATTCCATATCAAATCATCAGATATTTCTAAGATATCAGCACGAACAAATGAATTTTGATATGTAGTACAACCACAAACAGATTTGTTTCTAATCAGTTTGTTCCACTTAAAGATGAAAAGATTGCTTTCAAGTAATTTTCTGATGACAGAGACTTTGCAGAGACAGAGAAACATTATAAAAAATGCTACCAAGCAGGTTGTTCATGTTGTTGTTGAAGATACACACCTTTTCATCTGCTCGTAAAAATGTGGAAAATATTGCTTATTTTGTTCATATTAACTGCTGAAACATTGTTATTCACATCGTTTAATGTACTGATAAGCACATCAAACCCATATCCTCGAAAGAGAGATCAAGATCGCATGGATAAATATGGATTTGAAATCACCCACGAACTTAGGCCCGTATGCCATTTTGAGAGGTCAAGGTCAAAGTTCAACAGGACAAGGATTAGCTACTATAATGGGAGTACAACGTGTTATCAGTTGGAGCGAAAGGTACATGTGGGTGAATTACTTTTCATATCCGGGGACATTGAAATGAACCCAGGGCCAGTAAGAGAGCCATGCAATAATTGTAGAAAAACTGTCGCAAAGAACCAGCTTAC